TTGCAAAGTGTATCATTATCAAAAAAGACTTTGCGGTGATAGCCACCATCGTAGCTTCCCAAAAGAGATACTTTTGAAAAAAAGATAATAGCTACTTAATCAACCTACAGCTATTTAATCAACCTATATGTACTTAACGGCTTCTTATAGCTACTTAATTGATCTTATAGCTACTTGCTTGATTTTATAGCTATTTAATTGATTCTATAGCTACTTAATCATCCTACAGCTACGCAATGGTTTCCTGTAGCTACTTAATCAACCTACAGCTACTGAATGTTTTCCTGTAGCTACTTGATCATCCTACAGCTAACTTAATTGATCTTATAGCTACTTGATTGACTCTATAGCTACTTAATTGATTCTATAGCTACTTAATCATCCTACAGCTACGCAATGGTTTTCTATAGCTACTTAATCAACCGACAGCTACTTAATTATTCGATAGCTACTGAATGTTTTCCTGTAACTACTTAATCATCCTACAGCTACTTAATGATCATATAGCTACTTAATATTAGCTATTTCAAGTGTCCTATGACTATTCAAATATCGTACATGCATTTAAATTTGCTGTAGCTATTTACAATTTGCGTAACGATTAAAAACTCTGCAGCTATTTTAGCATGCCACAGCAATTAAAAAACTCATTACTAACTACAAAAACCCGTAGCTATTTATAAACTAATAGCTGTTCAAACAACATGAAATATTTCTTTCACTATTTTATAACTATCGTAACCTTTTCATAGGTATGAGAATGATTTCGTAGATATTGAAAAAATTTGATACTCAAGATTATTTGAATAGAGAATGGATCTCTACGACGATTGTGTACTTTTTTGTATGTGACTTGCAACTTGACATTGTTCTCTTTCTTTTCTCACTGTTTTATATAAATAAAATATCACTCATAATCTCATAAAGAATCTATATATGAAAGGTTAATAATATTATGAAGAATCAATGAAATATTTTCACAAACCAATATTGAATTCAAGTCTTCAATATTAGAATTCTTTTTTATAAACCAAACAAGAATTAAAATTAGAAATATTTAAATTCTTTATTACAAAACAAATATGGATTCTAATTATGAATATTTGAATTTTTATTTTAGAAAACGCTTGCCTGATGTAGATCATTAAAAAAAATATTTTTGCTATAAATGAAATAGACATTGAAATTATTAATATTTTGACTTTCTTTTTACAGACCTCTTGTTTTAATTAAACTATTAAAAAATGATTCAAATAATAGATGTTTGAAATGTTTTACGACTTCAATAGAGATTCAATTTTTTGATGTTTCAATTTTTCATCACAAACCAAATAGAGATTCAAATTATGAATATATGAATTCTTTGTACACAACTCCTTCTCTGCTGTATTATAACTTTTTTGCTTAAGCATACAACATAGTTTACATAAAATAAAAATATAGACAGCAATTAAATTTCAAGATTCTTTTTGATATCATGTCTTAAATAAGGCAAAATATGACAATCGATAAAAATAGGTGACTAAAAAAATTCGAGTATTGAGGATGCTTATAGTTGTTTACTTTCTTTTTTTGCATATAAATTAACAGAAGCAATTATTCATATAGAGGGTAATTAATGTAAAAAGCTTGCATTTAGAGATCGAACAAAACCTAAGAAAGAACGATTGAAGAATGTAAAATATGTATTCTATAATGATTTATTCTGGCGCCGAATCAAACTAAAAGCTTTGTTACGTTCTCGTTATACATATCAATTATATTATTTAAAAAACGTTCAATTCGTTACATAGTCAATGTCGACCGATATGAAATCATTGAATTATATATGTAAGTCTGATCGAAGATTCTTTTTCTGTATCCATAATAAATGTTTCTCGTGGTATTATCATCAGATTCTGAAACTTCGAATGATGGAAATGAAAATACGACAATGCAATCAACTTCAATAAGTAAATCGTTTTTTACATATTAGCAATATTTTTTTTTTCATTGAATAATAAGATAATGATGAATGGTTTTTATAAAAAAAAATATATATATATATATATAGATGTAGTATATAGATGTAAAGGTTCCTTTGATCAAAATGAAGTAACACAAAATAATTAATCAAGAGCTATCTCTAATATAGAATTAGTTAATGATAATGTTTGAAATCATATAATATCGAATCCTGTACAAGTCAGTAATAATGTTTCTCAAAGTTGGAAACATCTAACAGTGCACTTGTTCAAACTGAATATTTTGATTGTATAAAAGAATTAAATATAAATCAATCAAAGAATTGAATAAATCAGAATTGCAAATAATCATTTGTCTCTTCGAAATGTTGATGTTAGCGCTAATCTATTCACTACCTTAAATCACCTTTTACAAAAATTAAAAAAAATAATAAAAAGGGATTTTATTTTTTTGATTTAGGTTCAATATCAGGAATATCTAATGTGTCATCAAACAGAAACAATAATCAATCAATATCTCATGTACAAAGTAAATCACATGATATTCTGTTACGTTACATTTCTGCTTTTTATAATAGCATCTATTGATGATTATTTTATTGAATCAGAGAATTCATTCCAACAAATTCATGATCTCAATGAAAATCTATCTAAGTAATCAAGTCGCTTCGTAATGCATTTCCTATGTTCTTTATTAGATTTTTTATTCGTTGTAAAATTATTTACAAAAGTCCAATATGTTATTTTGGTACGAATAATAAAGTATTCGATGCGATCGTTTGTGATTCGAATAATGAAATTAAAGTGGTTGGTTTTAATGATGAAGTTGACCGGATATATGATCTAATGACTTTAAACAAAGTAACGAATAAAGTATGATTCTTTTAAAAGTTGGTTGTTGTAGACAATAAGTATTGAAAATGGCCGAATACAAAAAACGAATGAAAAATATCGAACACCGTATTCTATATTTGAAATTAGACTACTTCCAAATACAAATGTTCGATTATATAATTCTAATAATTTTAATCCAAATATTAAAATCACGAAAAAAAAACATACATGGTATATTTGAAGTATCACATGGTATAAATGTTGATATGTTGTTGTATCATATGCTTTTGTATGGATGCATATATTGTTAATTTCTAATGTTGAGTAGCATTTTTATACTATTCTTACATAGTAGATAACTAATTCTAATGATTATTTTAATGAAAAAATACGCACGTTACAGTAAATGAATATTAAGTAATATTCATTTGATAAAATTCTAATAAAATATTATTACAGTAAATTTAATTTATTTTGCATTATCAGATACTTACCTTAAAATAGAGATTCTTAATAAAAACTTACATACTAATTAATATTTTATCAAAATACGACATAACAAATTATTTTTATGTACTGTAGATACAGAAGGGGAAATAATAAGTGATAAAAGTGTATCTATAACGAAATCTGAAATCAATGGAGCTATATTACGACGTAGATCATTAAAAATACAGGATGAAACTGGCATTATCAACGTTATAATATGGAATAATAAAGTAAGCTATAATATTTTAACGAAACAAATTATACATTAATAATTTATTCTGTTTCATAATTTATAGAATGAAGAAATTCCAGAAAATGCAATAAATAAACATATACGTGTACGAAATGGTAGAGTTAATGTATATAATGGTAAAAAATGTGTTACAAACAGAATAATGATCTATGAAAATCCAATTTTTCTTTTAGATTATGTATCAATCAATATATCCGAACAAACAATCATTCAATTATACTGAAAATCATATATATATTTAATATAATTAAAATATTATTTCTTTTCCTCTAATGTTTGATGAATGTTTTAGTTGATTTAATAAATAATAATTCAAATATATTTGTTTTATTAATATAATTATTATAAAATAAAATATTACAAAAGTCATGAAAAATTTTGTAAATTCTAGACTATTCCGTATTATTTATTATAATAAATTATATTAACGTGTTATTGAATATTTCAAATTCATTCATCATTTACTGGATTTCATAAAATAAATCAAATTAAATAAAACATATTTAATCGTTAATATAAAACATAATTGATTATAAATTATTAATCTATCAAAGTTAAATAGTAAAACGGTCATGTCAAATCAAAAGTGTCGTTCAATTATCTATGAATGTACAAAACTCACACCAAATATTAATATTTTTCCAGATGAAATGAAAGTCATAATGGAAAATATTATAAACCTGAAAAAGGTTCCATTAATGCATCTGATAGTCGTAATCTTATCAGGTATAGCACACTGGTCTTCCAGAAGTGTTGTAAACATTGATATTGACTGGGATATCCCGTTAATATTTTATGGGGTAATTATTGGTTATCCTGGTATTTATCTAACAGTTTTTTTTTTTATTGAATTCGCATTTAAATATTATTAGGTTCAAATAAGTCGACAGCAATCAGCTTGATTGAACGTGCAACAAGAGAGGTTGAAAAATATCTACAGATAAAGATCGAAGATAGCCATGTAAACGGTTCAGTAACAATCGAAAGTTTGTTACAGGAATTATCAAAAAAAACATCTATCATTCAGTATGATATAAGTATAATTTATTGTTTTGCTTGAAAATAACAAATTTCTTTTTATATTTATTCTTAATATTATGCATGAATAAAAGAAAATTTTTATTTTGAATTATTCTATTTTAGAGCTTTTGACGAATTTAATACTTTTGCATCATCTTTCAGTCTTTACCGTACAGATAAAGCAGCATATTATCGATCTGTTTTAAATACTTTATGGAATGGTCCATCATGTTATTTTAGACAACTAGTAAGAGGGGATGTTAAATGTGAAAATCCCTGGTTATCAATTGTTGCAGCTGCTCATCCTGGGACAATTATAAATATATTGAAGGAAGAAAATAATCAATTAGGAGGAGATGGTTTATTTGCTAGGTAAAAGTTATATATTGTGACTTTTTTTCTTAATCAATTAATAAGATATCAATCTGAAGTAAAAACTGCAGAAAATAGCATAATTTCATAAATAGAAAAAGAGTGATTTTATTCTCTAGACAGTTCTTTATAAATTCTATTATTTTTTTTCAATTTTTCAAATTCTATGTAGTATCTTATGTACAAAAACATGATAGAATCAAGCTGATTTTATTTTTCATTGAATATTCTATATCAATAGATTTGTATTTTCTGCTCGAATTTCACCAGAAGATGTTCATAAGCGTCGTAAACGTGAAGCGGACAGTATTACTGGAGAATATACACCAGAATCTTATGGGTATCCAAGTCTTACTCATATTATGTACTTCATTTATCTTATGCATCATAATGAAGTTTTAAAATTAAAAATTTCTGAAGCTGCAAATGAAATTCTTATACGGACACATAATGAATACAATAATACAGTAATAGATTTTCAAGGTTATGAAGATATAATTTGTACATTGTTTTCTAAATCACGTGATCATTTATATCGCATTTGTGGTTTACTACATTTATTTCATCAAGCATGTGTTTATGTTTTAAAAGTAAAACTTCTTAAATACTGAGTGACTAATAATGAATAGCTGCACTTTCCATTTCATAGTTTCATCTCTAAATAAGTATCATAAAAAAATTAATTATACCACAAGGTGCAGCGTGAAAAGCTCTACAATTTTCATAAGATTGCTTTTTATACTTGCCCTTTTTTGTTTTCAAATTCAGTTGAGCGATCAAATTTCGACCATGCGAAAACAATATATTTTGTAGAAGAAAGATTCATTTTTTCTTATTTCATATTTTTATCACTTGATATCTTTTATTTGAAAAAAATATACCACTAAATGCAGCGAGAAAAGTTCTAAAATTTATACAGTAAAGTTTATTGTAATTGTTTTCAAAAAAAAAATAAAATTCACTGCAATCAATATTCGAATGATTGAAATTTAATCGCAGAGAATTTTGACGATTTTCAAAGCAAAAAAAGTGGAACTATAGGAAAAGCTGTCTTACGTTAATTGTGAAGCTTTTCATGCTGCATCTTGTGGCATATTTTGGTTTTTGATGATATTTATTAAGAGATGAAAATATGAAATGCAAAGTGCGACCATTCATTATTGTCCACCCAGTATATATGTCTCATATTTTTAATCTTTTCTAATTTTAAAAGGCTAGACCACAATTGGAATATTTAGTATTTGATGATACTTCAGCAGAGTCAATACAACAAATAGTCAAGCTAGCGCAAGAAAATATAAATGATTATTTAACTATTTCATCTGATATAGCTCAAACTGCTGTTGAACTTATGAAGTTTTATGTTGAGACAAAAAAACTTTTGTATGGATTTCCTTTAAACAATCATTCATCCTCAGAAGAAACACATATTGGTCCTTCTGCATCTCAAGAAATAAATATAGAAAAACCAAATGAACAATTAAATGATTCATTATCTAATAGTAATAATAGTAATAATAATAATGATAATAATAATGATAATAATAATGATAATAATAGTGTTCTAACTAGTACTAGCATTCTTAGTAATAATAGTAAATTTTCATCGTTACTTTCATCACTTTGTCCTTTTGATGGAGCAACTATGGATGCAATTATCGAAAAAATATTATTTTATCATAATCGAATAATATCAAGTAATCGAGTGGCACAGATATTACGCGTAAGAAATTATATACTCTGAATCTTATAATTCATGAACTGATTATAATCTTATTTTGTTATAATTTAGCGTCCTAATGTTAATAGTCAGAATGTGAAAAAGGTTTTTATATTCTTGACTAATTGTCAAATGGGTACTTATACAATCGAAAAACAAAAGAAGGGTAAACCTCGATCGTTATTTATTAAAGCTGATCTTCCTGAAGATAAAGAATCATTCAAATATAAATCAATGATAGAATTTTTAAGTGATTTTCATCTAACACCTGATGAATATATGAAACGTCTCCAAAATATTTCACAAACTTTGATTGTCTCAACAAACAATATTGCAGCGGGAAGCAGTACCTCAACAACAAATTAAAATAACAATGCTTCGTAAAATGTACTTTCTAATCTTGTTATCCAGTGCGAATATTCAATTGATTTGTGTGACTTTGAACTGAAAAAATTGTATCGATTATTAAATAAAATATAAATCAATTAAATAATAATATTAAAAAGAAAATAAACCATTAAAAATAGATTTTAATTCTGAATATTAAATTTTTTTTTTTAAGTATCAATTTTTTTCAATACTTTGGAGCTATTCCTAATAAACAATTAATCGTAAAAATCGTCAAACAAACAATAGATAATGTTTTTATGATAAAACTTTGTTTATTAAAAACTTCTTTATAATGAATATCAACACATCTACTTAAATAGTTCGAATGCTTCATCGATAATTAACATTCGTCGCTAAATGGCAGAAAAATACAAATCACTTGAGTACATAGAACACTTTTTGGAGCGAACTGTTCAAAAGTCAAATCTAATTTTTTCTTCGTCAAAGTATCGGACATTTTCTCAAAAATAAATTTAACTTTTATGTATTCGATCATTACGACACAAAAAGGATCAAAAGCAATTTATTTTGAAAACAATTTTTATCGATTGCAAAAACAGAACAAAAATGGTACAAGCCGATGGGTTTGCACCAATCGATTATGTTCTTCTTCTTTAATAATAAAAAATGAAACGTTACAAGTTGTGAGAGGCAAACATAATCATACAAATGGAAAGCCTTCATTATCTATAATTCACACTGTTCACGAAGTTCGTCAAACGGTTTGCAATAATCCATCTAAGCCAGTCACTCAGATTTATAATGAAGCTGTGTCTGCTTATGTAAATAGAATTATGTATTTTTACTCTCTATACATCAATATGTTTAGAGACAAAATGAAGGTACTGCTGAATTAGTACCGATGTTTAATATGTTGAAATCAACATTATATCGAGATAGAGCCACTGTTTTACCGAAATTACCACGATCATTAGATGATTTAATTTTACCAGATATTTTTACCAAAAATCTTTATAATGAAAATATGTTATTTTGTGATAAAAAAAAACCATTACGTATTTTAGGATTCGCTTCTTTAACTGCAATAAAACAGCTTGGTATGTTTTTATTTTTTAAGTATATGCATTAAAATACATTATTCTGTTATTTTTAATATAACTGAAAAAGTTACTAAGACTCTATATACCAGAAATTTATTTTTAAATCATCCAAAGAGAACGAATTTTAATATTCTTAAGCAAATCAATCAAAATAAATAGATCTTCTTATAAAACTGATTCTAATCATCTACTTCCACTAAAACACGATCATTTACATCATGAAATTTAAACGTAGAGGTTTTTTTACTTATGACACAAACACAATTTATTTATTTACTGCAATATAAACTGTTATTATTTTTGTTAAAAACGATCAGTAGCTGCAGTAGCTTATTTCAATCAAAAGTTAAATTTTTATCGCAGTTACGCGTAACTGCGTCGTAGTTTTTCGCAATTACGGGTCACAGTGCGATCGCAGTTACGGTATAGCTGCGTCGCAGTTTGACCGCAGTCGAACACATGAGTTAGAGGGCTGAGAAAAATGGGATTTATTGTCATAGAATGACATTTGTTTCTGTTTATTTTGCACAACATGTCTACAAAAATGGTCATAAGTAATAAATGGAAGAGTTTCAAAATTCCGTCCGATGAAAAGTTACGCACAGACGCTAGCATTAAACTGAAACCAGCCCGAGCTCTTTATCGATTTTAACGACGGAATTATTTCGATTCTCTCGAAGGTACGAAAACAAGCCGGAAGTTCGGTCTAGTCAGGCATATCAGGCTGGAATTTTTATCGCAAGCGTTTCTCACTAGGGTCAATCGTTCCTGAAAGTTTGAATCCAAACAGCTCATACTAAGTGGGAAATGAATTCTGAGGAGGAGACTCCCGTTAAATATAACTGAAACAGATATGAATGTCAATTTCTTTTTCCTATCACAAATAGAAAAGACTTGGTTCTTCATAAAGAATGGATTCTTTATAATTCTTGAGCTGTACATATAATTATTTCATTAACATAAGTTTTTGTATAATTTATGCAGCAGAATGTAGTATATGGAATGCCGATGGAACATTTAAAACTGCTCCAAAATTGTTTACTCAATCATATACAATACATGCACATAATGAATTTTCAATGAAACCTATAATATTTTCAGCACTACCAAACAAATATGAGAAAACATATTCTGCACTTTTAAAATCATTAATTAGTTATGCAAAAACAAATAATCTGATTCTATCTCCAACATCCATTTTAATAGATTTTGAATTATCGTCATTCAATGCATTTACAAAAGCTTTTCCAAATACCAATATTCTATTTTGCCATTTTCATTTTGCAAAAAATATAATGAAAAACGTAAAGAAATTGCGTAAGTGCTTATGATAATCTTATATCCTAATCAACTCCTATATATATATCTATATGTACATGTGTATATATATTGCAGACGAAATTGAATTTCATTACATTTGAGAATAATTTAGAATTCAAACAGTTCTTTCTCACATCTATCTTCAGTATTTTTTCTTATCAAAGCCTTTCAATCTTACATATATATATATAACAGAACACCTACTTTAAATCAATATTAAATTTTAACAAAAATACTTCTTACAAATAGAAAAAAGCAAAAAGATTTTATAAATTGTCTTAATGTCCAATTCATCTATAAATATAATTGTTTCTAGAAAACTAATGATAATATGTGTATATCAAAACAAATTTTTCTATGAACCATCTTTAAATTATTCACCCGCAACCAACCCTTGCTCAATCGATGGTCATCGAGTTGAGTCATATTTATACACGCAGTAGAGGCAAGTGTTCGATGAGTTTGTATACAAGTCGCGTGAAGAACTGTCATTCCGTTACTAAGTTATTAAATTTCTGAGATCACTGCTATCAAAAAATAACATTTTTTTGTGATTTTTTTCTGCGACTTATATCTCTTTAAGAATATATTCGCTGCGCTTGAAGTTTTTATTGTAGAGTTTGTCCATAGTTGAGATATTTTTTTTTTAAACAATGCTCTCGATTGGACAAATCATTGATCAATTGATCTGCAGTATCAAATAGATTAAAAAAATTTCGCTTTTTGTATTTTGTTCATATATATATATCCATATAATAAATAATTCGAGAAAGATAAACTTTTGGCCACAGAGATAGCTCATTCACTGCTAACTCTAATAAACAATTTTGCTTTCTAGATAGTTCTTATCTCTCAGGAAGTCCTTGTCAAGAATGCGATTTTAGTCATGGGTTATCTGAACTTGCTGCTATAAAAAAAAATAGACTTAACCATTTAACAGCTTTTCAGCTTAAAAGACAAAATAGGATCTTCAGACGAAAAATTTTAAAGCATGATTTGATTGTTATATATAACTTTCGTGGTTAAATTAAACTTAAACAGTCAAAAAAAATATCTGCTCGTTTCTTATAACAAAAGAAAATAATTTATCATAAAATACATTAGTGATTAAAAGTTAAATACAATACATACACCCACACGTTTAAATATATGTCACTGTTCAATGTCTTATGCAGTCCAATCTTAGATTCGCCTGGACCAATCTCAGATTCAAGAATGGACTGATCCAATATGTACCAAAGACTACTTGGTATGTTAATAAAAAATTTTTCGATGATTTGATATTCAGCTAGTCCAATATAAGAATCTCGAATGGACCTAAGCGGATCATAGATTGGGTTGAATCAAGTGCTAGACGCTAACATATACATATCCTCTAATTTTACTAACAGTTCAACTAAATTTGAGAGAAAAATCTCATCTCATTCATAAATGTTTTTGAAATAAAATTAATAATCTTTTATTACTCATCTTATGAAATTTTTAACATACCATCTTTGTTTAAATAAAAAGAAAGGAATATTCGAAAATGAATAATATTTTCAATATAAATTTTTTAAAATGTATCTATCTATGCTAACATATAATAAAATTTTGTTAACAGATTTGTGTGACGAATTAAACAAAGAGACAGTTAAGCGTGAAATTGCTAATATTTTATCATTACCTTTACTGCCAATAAATAAAATAATTCCAGCATTCTACGACTCAGCGGATTTACTTCTATCTATTAATGGAAATTTTCAAACGTTCATTAAGTATGTTGAAAAAACTTATATAATCGATCCTACATTCAATCCATTAAATTGGAATCATTATAATACTTTGTGGAATAGACCAAGAACAAATAATCAGTAAATGTATTATTAGTAACAATCAATTAAATAATTAATTCTTTTTTTCTCTTTTTATGTTTTCATAGCATCGAAGGCTATCATAGATATTTAAATAGGTATGATCATGAGGAGTTTTTACTTAGTAAAAATAACTATTTTTTTTTTTTTTTGCTATTTCAAAAAATAATATATCAAACAAAACATTTTTTTACTTTATTTCTTAAGTCGTATGACAGCAAAACCGAATATTTGGAAATGGATCATGCATATTCAAAAAGATGACGAACAGACAATTATAAGATCAGAACAAGAAAAAAAACAAAACAGATCAACAAGACCAAGAAAAAAGAAAAATATAATGCATGATATTTCGTTAGCTGATTTAAAAAATTCATACGAACAAAATTTAATAGATATAATCGAATATCAAAGAAAAATTAGAATCATTTCTTATTCATATATGGATGCTTTAGAAAACAAGATAAGTACTGATGATAATGATTAAAACTTAGGAACATTTATTATTAATATTCTTTTTTAATTCGAATCATCGCATAAATCTAAATATATCAATAACACCTTTCTCGAAATACAATATAATATAAGAACACATTTTTTAACTAATATATATATACATATACTTCTAATAAATAAGATCAGTTATTTTATGATTGTCATCTTTTCTATTTTTTTCACAAATTATCATTAAAGAAAGTAGTAATTTTCCTTTTTTTGTCTAGACTGAAAGGATAAAGTCTAG